TATATATATATATCACCAATAACTTTTTTTTTTAATAATAAATCATAGTAAATTAAAAAAGAATACAATGGTTACTCGACCCATTAAATATTGTTAAGCATATTATATAGTAGTCAAACCATACAAAAATAAAAAATCAATTCTGACATTCAGACTAGTCTTTTGGTGTCCTTCCTTCCTAGATGATTGTCTTTTTTAACCACAACTATTAATCAAGTAGTTAATTTCATCATCATTTTTGTGAAGTTCTATTGTTCTATCTACGTACGAGTGTTAGTAATTTCATCTTCATGTTTAATACACATAAACTCACCTTTTTATTTTCAGGAAAAAAAAAAAGTGTAGTTGCTGAATATCCTTGAGTTCCTGCTTCGAGTTGATCCTTCTCCAAATGGTCCTGCAAAATCCTAAGGTTGGTCCTCGAGGAGAAACTCCGATGCTTAAGTCAGTATTTTTCTAATAATGTTTTCCTTTTGGTTCCGCCTATTTATCGAACCTTACCTTGTGGGCTTTGTCCATCTTGGCAAGGCACCCATGTGGCTTGTCTGCACTCATGTGGCTCAGTCAATCCAATAATGGTGACATAGTACGCCTGACGGAGTAGACGTTTTAGGTGAATGTAACGTGCCTTAACGGAGTAACCGCATTAAATACGCGTGGTGTATTCTGACGGAACAAGTCCCTTGAGAAAGGATGTTCTGGTAGGGACAAATGATCAGATGAGGGCGTGCCTATTGTGGTTGCCATACACTTTCGGCGAGATGCCGAGGTGCGGTAAACTCTGAGTCCCGCAGTCGAGGTGCGGTGATCTCCAATCTCCGATCTTTGCCTTGCGTGTTTTCTAGTATAGCTGCCTTACAAAAAGGATCACCCTTTTGTAGAGTACTGCACACTTACATGTGTGTGTAAGACATTGGTAAATTTCATAAGGTAGGTCATTAAGGCCTTAGATTTAACGGTTGAAATCTTAAAAGTTGATATTTGAGTTTCACAAATGATTTGTTTTTTCTTGCGCTTCCATAAAGATATTTGTATTTATAAAACCTTTTACTCTGTATCAAAAAACTTTTTTCTTTTCATATGATATATACTACTTTGGCCCTAAATCCATCCTTTTTTTAGGAAGTTAATGGGAATATTTTGTTTTGGTTATAAGCGACCAGTCATATATGTTGTATGTGTCATTGATAACGTTTCTTTTTTTTATTATTTTTATTTTGAGTTGTAATTAAAAAATGAGAGATAATCTTTTTTTTTTTTTTTACCCATCTTACTTATATGTCATATTATTTTATATTCAAAAACTCTTATTTTTCATTATAATAAGATTATTACTAATTACTTATTAGTGAATCGTGTAATTATTGTTCTTTTCAAGTTTAGTTGTCAATGAAAAAATGCATGAAATGAAACTTTGGTTTAGTAAACGTAATTAAAATGATGGTTTGAGGTATATTTAGCAAAAATCTTAGCTGTCGAGTCATGTAATGTTGACTTGTAATAAAGTGGGACATTAAAGCAAAAGTTTTAGCTAATTTCAAAATTTTCATATAAAAAATTCTCACCTCTTATGAAACAGCGCTTCATTACGTTGTTGGGTTTTACAAGTTACAATGAAACGAGCCCTTTTAAGCAAAAGGTAAAATATACACCATACATGCCAGCTAGTTCAACATTGTGATGTAAGACGTTAATTAAGAGTGTCTTTGGTTTCGTTAATTTTTTTAGTTATAAATTTTTTAAAATAATTAATTATAATGTCTAAAGGTATTAATTTATAAGATTTTTTTTTCTTTTCATCTTGGTTATACAATGAGAAGTAATCATATTTCATCCCTTATCTCACCTTACTTGCATGTCATACAACTCGAATTGAGAATCTTTTATTTTCAGTAAAAAAAATAATTACTGAATTATTTAGGTAGTTGGTTATAAGATAATTTTAAATTATTAGTTAAATAATAAACACAGTTGTTTTATTAACTATAAAAAAGACTACAACTATCTATTGTTTCTAACAATTAAATTCAACCAAAGCCAAAATCATCAAGAAAGACACAGTCTTCCCTTCGGAAATTAAGGAGATAAAAACGCAACTGGTGGAGAGCTTTTATCAAATCGCAACAACAACAACAACAATATCGAAGGACTACTTAATATTCTAATCTACCCCCTTTAATTAAACAAATCAAACCTATTCTCTCCTGCCCAAATTAATTAACAATTGTTATCCTAAAGCTAATCCCATCAAAGGGTATGTGGACCACACCAAAAGAAGAAAGACTAGCACCAATTCCATGTGAGGAGCACCCATTGCTTCGAATCTAGCATAGTTTTGCATGTTCTCACTTTTGTTCAAAGTGGCTTGAGATTGTTGCAACCCATTTCTTTCCCCTTCCAGGGGAGGGCAATTCAAAGCCTTGGTTTCATTCTTTAGTAAATTAATTAAATCCCACATCATGGAGGAGTGGGAATATTTTAAGGACTAAAGTACAGCCAACCAAACTTAGGTCTCCATGTGATTGATAGTGATCTGTTTGGAATAATTACAGTCATCACCTTCACCTGCTTGCAAAAATGTTTCCAATGTCAACCATTCTTTCCACATCGGATGCTTTAATTTGAGCCGTTGTTTCTTTTCTTAAGAATTCAAAATTAATACAAAATAAAAATTAAAAAAGTTCATTAGGAGTTAAATTTAATGTTTTGAGTCTATTGGATTTGAAGTTTGAAATTTTAGAGTTAATTTTTGAAACAAAGGGTTATTTGCTGCTTTATTTTTTATTCATTTGATGATTAGGCAATACATTAGAAAATATACTTCCTAACTTGTAAACATCTCTCAATTAGTTACAAGTTTCAAATTTAAGAGGCCTAACTTAAAATGTTAAGTTTTTAAAAATTAATACACCCCTTTTAAGTGTAATTGTATAAATTGCCATCAGAATTAAGATAAAAAAAAAAAACATAT